AATCGCGGTTATTTCGAAAAAATTCTACTGTGTGGGCGCGCGTTTATGCAAAAATTCAAATTTTCATAGCATAGAATTCTGTAAAATTCATTGTACCCGCACAAAAAGTTAACCGTAAATCAAAAAAAAGAACTATTTGAAAGCGCTGAATCTTCTCTACAACTCTATAGGTCCACAAAAGTAATGCCCCATTGCCATTTTGGTCAAGTTAATCAACACAACAAACTACTAACAACTAATCATGGTTTGCTCTATGGAAAATAAAGAACAAATCCTTGTTCAAAGCTATTTCAGAACTATTTGAAAGCGCTGAATCTTCTCTACAAAATAGTACTAAAAGATTTTGATTATTGGATTGACCAGCGGAAAAGGCTCACCAACGTTTTCCACGCAATCTAAGCTCCGCGCCTTTTTGGCTGCTCACGAATCAAGAAATCAAGAATCACGAATCAAGAAATCACGTAAAAGCAATCACAATAAAGTTGGACTTAATTGTACCGATTTGAATCTCGAAATTTGTCAAAAAGATTTACACAATTTAATTCAGTTTGCCGGTTCGGCTCCTTGCACGGCAAGTCGATCGGCCATCTCATTTCCATAAACACCCGAGTGCGCCGGGACTTTCTCGTAAACAACCTGAAAAATCCATCGTAAGTTTCAAATCAATTTGAAAACAAAGCTCGAAAACCAACCTTCTACATACAGCTCGATAAATTCCCTGTCTCGTGGAGATTTCACAGGTAGAGCTGGCACAATTTTAGGTTTTTCCAGTTTAGGCTTTGCAATTGAAAGTGGCGATTTCACAACAACCACTTGGAGTTTTGATAATTGATCGCTTTGTTGCTTTTTGAACGACTAAAAATAAAGTTTAAAAAATAAAACTACTGCTTAAAATTAGTCATTTAGATACTAAACAAACAATACCGTTTTACAGAGAAGCATTTTTTGGGGTTTTTCTTTGGAAAATCGATTTTCTAAGGGTTACGGTAAGTCTGGGTAAATAAGTTTTGGTGTTGTCTGCGAGAGAGAGGGACAAATCGAAAAATGATCAATCAAGGATTTATGAAATTCGCGGGAAATTAATGAACAAAGCACGAGATTAGAAAGTCAATAAAGTGATGGGTAAAATTTTAAATCCAAATGTAACACCGGAATTAAACGAGCGAAGGAAGTGCTTAATTCAAAAAATTTGAAACATGGTTTTTTAAAAAAACCCGATCAAGCACTGTAGCTTGGGAAAGATAGCTTAAAGATGGCTTTAAAATGGCTTTTAAATGGTCAATTTCGAAGCAAAGCCAGTCTTAAACCTTGCCAATTAACCGGACATTTTTCCGGTTGTGAAAAAGTCGAGACTGTTTTACAGAGAAGCTGTATTTCAAAAAATCATCCGATCAATTTGCCTTAATCACATGGAAAATAATTTAATAATTTCACATTTCATCGCAATTTTCGATTATTGAGCTCGCGAAAAAACAATGGGAAATATAAAAGCTGGCTGAGAATCTAGTTTTATTTACTTTCTTCCTTTTGTCAAACCTCTTCCATCAATTTCTCCATATCGACTTGACGCGGCGTAGCGGGATTTGTACGTGCCCGGCTAACGCCATCCCGTGCAGGGAAACGAATAGGAGAATGGGCAAAGGCCTCATCTTGAATCAGTTTTTTGAATATTCAAATGCTTTGAAAGTCTCAATAATATCTCAATCAATTTATTTTTTTAATTTAATCAAAAGTTGAAGATGCAAATGGTTAGATTTAGTAAAGAAAAAGAAAAGCAATGAAATGAACACAATGAACACAAAGGATCGATTGTCACTGGTGGTGATCAGCAGCAAATTGGGTCAACATTTAAAACATCAATTTAGGTATGAATTTAGTGTAAACTGCATCATTTTATTATATTATTTAAGACTTTTTAAAGCTATTCAATGCCTTTGTTTTTAAAAACAAAAAAAATCAGATTTATTTATGAGCAAAAGAATCGGAATCGTATTTTGAAGATTTTTCTTTAGAAAATCTCTTTAGAAAATCATTTAAATTCATTGCGGATTTTGTCCCCCTCAGCGCGTCGTTTCTCGAAGTTGTTCTCTTCTTTGTATTGTAAATGTAAATTTCATTCGTTAGCGGCTAGCCGTTAACGAATCATTCGCTACGACATATAAAAGAGAAGTGTCCGTCCGTCCGTCCTTCACACTCTGGATCTGAACCGTAAACTACTGCTTAAAATTAGTCATTTAGATACTAAACAAACAATACTGTTTTACAGAGAAGCATTTTTTGGGGTTTTTCTTTGGAAAATCGATTTTCTAAGGGTTACGGTAAGTCTGGGTAAATAAGTTTTGGTGTTGTCTGCGAGAGAGAGGGACAACTTCTCGATTTCCCCTCCAACTGCCTCAATCTCTTCCGGACTCAGCGATCCATCGTGAATCTTCACCTCATCATACCCACTTTCTCCATCCATGTTTGGTTGTGTGTCGGGAAGGATGATTTGGCCTCGCACAAAACAAGCCCTTTCAAATACGCTGAGAATCGAGAGGAAGACGGGGAACTGAGATGTGGAAAAGAGAGATGCGGAAGAGGGAAAGAGAGTCTGCGAAACTTGTTGTTTCGCAAAAGGCTATTTGAATGGTGGTGCCTGCATTAGTGGAGCCGCCTTCTGCAGCTGAAAAACGACAAATCGAAAACGGTAAATCTCGAGTGTTATGTGCAATTCTTGTATTTTCTTGAATAAATTGTATTGGAAGATGTTTTTCACGAAAACGACAGATGAAATCAGATTTTGGGTGTCGAGTAGCAATGCGCGACCATCGAACTCAACAAAACTCGAGAATCTGGTGACCAGTTAAACGGTGATCAAAAGCTATCACTCAGACTTCTCCAATCTCTTTTCTGATTCGAAATATTTTAACGATCACTGATGGATTGTCTTCTTTTCCCCTTGTTCTTTCTCCCTTTTCACCTCGATTTTGTGTTCTCACTTCCAATCTTTCCTAATCGACCGTTGAACCATAAAAATGTAAATTTTAAAATGTCTAAAAGTTTACGTGGTAAGGTTGGGGATTGTACGCCAAATCAAAACAGGATAAAACTGCTGCCTAATCGCCGAATCAGTTAGAATCAATTAGAATCAGTTAGAATCAGTTGGAATCACATTTTTCAACAAAATACTACAAAACTTGCAGAAAAACCAGTCTGCTCTTGATATAACCCTAAAGTGCCAAAACTGTTGGTGGACTTATTTTGATCATTTCTTTATTGTAAAAACAATGCTTCAATTTCAATTCCAGCTCTCGGTAATGTTTGCCAAGTGATCAAGTCGAAGCTAATGTCTCAACGTGCCATCAGCTACCAGTCAGACCCAACTCAGCCAGGACTCCTTGAGATCAGAGGGGATACGCTTCTGCAATTTCAAAATTTTTTTGCATCAGGATGCTTTTTGGTGAGTTTTGCTACAAAAAAGAATAAAACTCATTTGCATGCAGGTGTTTTTTATTGGTGTGTTCACAAACGTTTTCGCGATTTATTACTCGGCCAGAAATGATGGCTTATTGCTGAGTATTCGGTAAGTTACTGTAATTTTACTGAAGTGTAACTCTAAAGGCACTCAGCTAACTACTCAGCTAACTTTATCAATCACAAGAAATTTTCGAAGTGGCCTCCACTCGCTTTGATACAGGCTTCAATTCGCTTCTTTACGCGGCGGAGATAATTAGCATCTTGCCCGAAGCACGGATTCCACCCCAAACCATCAAACTTTTTGGAAACAGACCTTTTGTAGCGGCTTTTCGTTTGCGAGTGCCCTTGAGAGCTGGACTGAACAGTTGACGGTGATTTTGTGTATTTTTAGCCACTTCTAGGGTGAAAATCTTCTCATCCGACCAGAGAACATCGTCAATGCGCCGCAGCTTGGAAAAAGCTCCCAATTTCTTGCATTTCTCCTTTCGGTTTTGCTTGGCTTGATCGGTGAGCACTTGTCTGTTTAACAGTCGATGACTTCGAAGTCCAAGCTCATTTTTCACTATTGATTGAACCGAGAAACGCGAAATTTGAAGCTATTTTTGCCATCTTGTTCAAGCTACGATCGTCTTTTCGCTCGATCCTCCTCTTGACGATCCCACGCATTTTTTGGGTGTTAACGGTCCTCTTTCGCCCTCTTTCGGGCTTGGACTGAACATATCCCCTCTTTTCATTGCTTTACGATCTTCTGGACGGTCTGGATTAATAGCAACGACAAAAAGAATATTAAAACACAAAAAAATGAGCATTAATGCTTTATAGATTGTTTAAAACTATGCCAGATGCTGCGCGCCCGTAATTTTCAGCCACCCTGTACTGTGTGTCCGGTAAAAAACGTAGTCATCGGTTTGAGTCTAGAAAAATTTCCTCGTTGAATGTTCTAGCCACAATTTCAGTTTGTTTGTTGGACTGGCTGTTTCAAGAATAATCTGAAATATGGTTAATTTTTAAACGAGAAAACCCCTCTTGTTGTTGCATTCCCAGGACTGACTTTTCGGGAGTCCCTCATTTTCAAGACCTTAATATCAATCTTGCCTTACTACTTGGATTTGTTAGCTTTAGATGAAAAAGCATAAAACAACTGGTTATTTTGCGTATTGAGGCATATAATAATGCCAAGTGAATTATTTACTTCTAACGAGAATCGGTCGCCCCTTAAAGAAATTTCAATTGTAGATGTGCAAGCGATGGCATCGCCGGTTTGCTTTTCAACTATTTCGCGGGTTTGGTCGTCGTGAACGCATTTTGTCAGTTCTTTGTCTCGATCAGGTTTGAAAAAAGTGCATCACTCTCGAAATGTGATTAGCCGTTTCTTGGCCGCTTCTTTCGATGGAATGCTCTTCAAGTATACAACAAAACACACCGTCCTCCAGTTTCTCATTTGCTATTCGGGAGCGATTTCTCTTTTCTGCGTATCATCGTTTACAAATAGTGCAATTGTGAATATGTATGTGACGCCAACTCTGACATATTTCAAGATCACAATGGACTTTTTCACCTTTTTAAAGCTTCGAAAAGTAAGTTAAAATGGTGTTTCTCAAAGAGATGAGAGATTTAGCTGAATAAATCCAAAGTCTCGATGGCGGAGAGACGTTTAATGGTTCAGGTTGGACTAGATTCAGAAAATGATCAATTGGGTAAATTGGTTACCTACAAATATAGTAAATATAGAAATAATAATCTAAATTGCCTTCTTTTTTTGCCAATACAGAGTCTGTACAAGTTTGTTTTGATCTATCAGTCTTGACTGATTAAATTGGATCTTCTGAAGATACCAAACGAGTCACAAAACGCTTTTCAGATGATCGGTAACTCAACATACTATTTTTCGAACTATTTTCTTTCAAGTCTGATCACCATTGTGCAATATCCATTCTTTGGCTACTACTTATCGACTGTGGCATTGCAACTGAACTTTTTTAATGTCAAAGTTGAGCTGCTCGACTTCGCCGATGTGTTGCGACTCCTAAACATTTGCAGCCAAAAGTTAGTAGATACTTTGCAGAAGATAATTTGAATAAAAACATGTACAGGGTGCGGCAAAAGTTCTGACACTTTTTTTCAAACGACTGTATGATGGTCCGCCAACATTTTCCGAATCCGTTATGGTGTGGGCCGGCATCTGTGCCACAGGAAAGACACCTCTTGTGTTCATCGATCGAAATGTGAAAGTCAACGCTAAGATCTACCAGCAAAAGGTGTTAAAGGATGTCTTAGAGCCCTGGGCAGCGAATCATTTCGGACAAACTGGATTTCACCATTGTGCAATATCCATTCTTTGGCTACTACTTATCGACTGTGGCATTGCAACTGAACTCAAATGCTTCCACATGTATTTACACGCTTGGACTGAGGTTCTGCTACATTTTCTCGGTTTTAACTTTCATACCTTGCTTAGATATTTAAACATGGTCTTCCTGAAAAAGAAAAGTACAACTCAACTCAACTTCTCAATCCGTCATGAGTATAACGGTCACCAAGACGAAGAGCTCTCACTCGACACCCAAAATCTGATTTCATCTGTCGTTTTCGTGAAAAACATCTTCCAATACAATTTATTCAAGAAAATACAAGAATTGAACATAACACTCGAGATTTACCGTTTTCGATTGGTCGTTTTTCAGCTGCAGAAGGCGGCTCCACTAATGCAGGCACCACCATTCAAATAGCCTTTTGCGAAACAACAAGTGGCGATGTTCTAAAAATGGACATTTTTGAAATTAAATGAGAAACTTGTGTCATTAATGTTAATGTTTCCAGGTAAACCCGGATCCCACCTTCTTATAATCAATCAGTAATTGCAGTAACGAGTCCGAGTTTTTCACAATTGAACTAACCGGGCAAGATGAGTCGCATAACGGGACGGGATCAGCGTTGACCATGGAAACAGAGGCTAAAATCATTGATTTCTTCTAAATTTTGAAGCTAGACGGGCTATCTTTCTAACAAAAACTTTGAGCAATATACTACAGTTTCTTATAGACACCTTAAAAGCATTTTTTTAGTGATCCACAATCGAACCTTGCCTGTTTGAGCATTTATTTCTAACAGTAGGTACCTTTTAGAAGGGGCAGTTCTGAAAAAGATTGACTTAGAAAAATGAATGGGGAATAGTCGCACCTTCAAATAAGTTGGCTACTGTAAATGTTTACATAAATATTAATTGATCTATATTTCGATCTTAGAAGTACGGAAAGCACGTCACCGAGTGGATGTACCAGAATGCGCGTTACTTGCTCTCATCCGTTGATGATGCCAATTGTCAGGTGAGTTCTCATTATCAGTTAAGCTTTAAGTCAAGCATACATTTGCTCAATTGTTCCTTTTAGATGGTTGTTCACGCCGCTGAAGCGCTTCTCGTCAACGCCACCGCTCTGACCGATTTGCCCACCGAGGTGTGCCTCTTGCTCTCTGTGCCGTAAAATTTGATTATGTGTTGATAATCAAATGTGGTAGCTTTGATAGCAATATTCTTTAGGAATGTTTAAAGGGGATTGACATCGATCGTGAGGGAACATTCTAGGCGAGTCGCGAGTTACTTAAACGGGATGATTGGTACACGGTCGCGAGTTACTTAAACGGGATGATTGGTACACGGTGGTGGGTTTTCGAAAAAGTTTGCAGAACAGAATCTAAGATCTTTTAACTAGATTAGACTTACAGATATGAATCCCTGACGTAATCAGTTTTAAATCCAATCCCTGACAAGGATTGGAGTCATAAGGCATTTCTAGATATCCTGGAGTTTAGAACAAATTCAACGAGAATTAGTTGGTCTTCCGCGAAAATAGTTGATAAAACTAGTATGCTAAAGTTATTTTCCTAATTTCCAGGAGGGACTTCGTCGAGTGATCACGGCGGCGCTCGAGAAGATGGCTCGCATGTCGACCATACAGACGCAACAGACGAAATCGATGGTGGACGAGTTGCAGAAGAAATTGAAGAGGGCCATTCAACCGCCATCAGCCATCTCAACCACCGCTCAATGAGGGACAGGGAAAATGGTTTTGTGTGCGTGTGTTTGAGCTCGCTGGATCGAGCTTTTGGTGGGTAGCTTTTTTGTTTTAAGTCTTAAGGAAATGGACTTGAAGTTGAGAATTAATTTGAGACCAGGGCATCTTATGGAAAAACATCAAAACTGGACATCTTCAGGGTTGAGCAGTTGAGCGAAGAACCGATTTTCAGGCCAAAACAAAGCCAAATTCGAGTAATCCCAAAAAGGTTTCACTTGGTTTTGACTTTTGGTTTTTTACCGACTATGAAACTCTTGAATTCCGAGAGAAGCCATTAAACGATGTTCAACCTTGATGTTTGAATTTTCCTTGATAATACTAGACTTAATTATTAGATTTAAGACTTAAGGTTAGCTACAGAGTTTATTTACAACAAATGGCTTACCGGTTTGCTTATCGATTTTCTTTTAGTTACATGATACTCTCGTCATTTTCCCGGCCAAATCCCCGCGTGTCTCCTTATGTCGGCTTCTCAACAAAAATCCCTCAAAAACAAACCTTTTTTCTAGGATTTTCCACATAGTATCATTGTTTGTAGTCATTATTATCTTGTTAAAATTATTCTTGTTATTTTATATATTTTTCACCTTCTTTCCCCATAAACTGGTCGATTTCAGGACATTTATCACACATCTGGTGTTTTTTTGTTTGCTTTTAGAAGTGTTGATGATGATTGATCGTTTTTATAGGTTTTTACACACACCCGATGCTCTTTTATCTGTGTTTTATTTTATTTTTTTTGACTTTCACGTTGTATACACACAAAGTTTTCTGGTATAAATTAATTTTCAAATGACAGTGTTTAGGGAAAGGGACTTGAAGCAAAAAGACGAACGTGGGAAATTGATCCGAAATTCTGAAAGAGCCGGTAAAATCCAATGTGGAAAATAAAAGATCAATAGCCAGGTCGAACAAATTACAGCTTGAAAAAGCTTGAAAAACTCGTATCTTATAGAATTAAGGCCATTCTCTAAAGCTTATTCCCTTTCTCTTTCTACCTTCATCTTCTTTCTATTTCTTATTCAATATATCCACTTTTTATATCTTTCGATATTCGAAATAAAGAAAAAGTGGTTAGATTGAATAAAAAAGAGATAAGATTACGGTAGAAAGGGGGAAAAGAGACAGATTAGAGAATTTAGTTAAAAAACGAGTTTCAAAGTAATTAAAGTAAAACTCTGGATAAGTTTTTTGGTTGTTTTCTGGTGCTTATGCTATTTGGAAGAGCCATAATGATTGCATAATGATAAAAGCATTGCAGCGCACCATAAAAGCTGTGTTTATGAGCTTTGTGAGAGCACAGAGTACACTTTGAAGAAGATTTTAAAGATCAAGTTTCAATCTACTTCAACTACAAGTTGTTAGGCGAACATTAACAGAAAGATATTATGCTTTTACTAAGGCTTAGATTTGAGATTAGATTTGATCAGATTTGAATAAAGTGCACCAGAGAGTGCTTACAAGATTTGAGAGATCACAAAATATTTTATATCTTACACCGGCAATTTTAGCAACCAATTTCACGAAGGTTAAATAGCTAAAAAAGGTTGAGTTTCAATTTGCACCACTATAAACCGGTCTACCTAGGTCTAGGTCCTAGTCTTGATACGCATTGCTTTACTGTGGGCCTGTAGTATTTCTTACCGGTCTTTCACCTGGTTTACAAATCCCATAGCCTCAAACCAGCTTATCAAGGATACCGGATTTTCTCTAGTAGTAGTGCACCCAGAGGGTTGCTTAAATTCGTCAAAATCTCGAGAACCGCTTAGCAGAATCTATTGATGTGGGGTCGGAAAATGTAGCTGACGATTAGATCTTGTGGGGCGTTTGAGTTCAGCTTCTGCAAAAGCTTCGAAACCGTAAAATAGTCACCAACTCGGCTCCCCGGAGTGCATACTATTAGAGAAAATACGGTAACAAATTTTTCTCTTTTTCAAACCGCCTCAAACGAGTATAAATTAAAACCCCAGAGACCCGTTTGTCATCAAGAAAATTGAAACTCAAACTTTTTTAGCTATCTAACCCTTTCGTGGAAATTTACTCGTATCCAAGATTTTGGAAGAGCCATAAAAAACTGCAGGTTGAGTGCGCTTTCGAGATGGGACGGGAGCGGGACAAATGCAACCTTTTTTTGCGCACCCGGACATTTTTTTCCGCACCTTGCCCATTAGCGCACCTTTTTTTGCGTTTTAAACAACCTCTAAAAAGCTAATATTAACGAATTTCTATTGCAGTTTGAGAGTTATAGAATTCTAAAAGGTCAATAAAATTGAACAAGGAGTGGAAAAACTAATCCAATTTTTACATGAACTTCTTTGAAACATGACTTTTTCTTTGGCTAAAGAGACAGATTAGAGAATCACTTAGTTAAAGAGGTAATTAAGGTAAAACTCTGGATAAATTGAGTAATAACATTTGAATTAAGCACAAATCTTTTTTGGTTGTTTTCTGGTGCTTATGCTATTTTTTAGTAGCTAAGACTAACAAAACAATTCTAGCAAGAGAAAAGCTTAGGTTTCAATTTTGGGCAAGTAGGGAAGTGAGGAAGTCTCGATAATCCTTTGAACCCCAGCAAGCTCTTCAGAAACCGGCTCTCACCGGCATTTTGTGCGTTTAAAAGTGCTACTTGGTTTTGCTTTTTAAGCCTTTAAGTCAGTCAGTCGATACAGTGCTCAAACAGTGCTCAAATTAGGGTTTGTTAAATTCTTTTGTTTCAAAATTTATTAAAATTTATTTTAAAAAACCAAAAAAAGATTTGTGCTTTTTGCTTAGTCACAATTCACAATGCTAACCTAAAAGTGACGAAAATTCGAGTAAAATTTGAAATTCCTATATCAAAGAGGAAAGAATTGAATTAATTCTTAAGATTTCACTTATAGATTAGATATTTTGAAACATGAATACTTCTCCTGATTATTCAATTGTTTTTGCGGAGGGTTTTGAGACGGCACAGGGAAAACTTGTTGTCATCTTGGGGCAGGTCTTATGTGCTATGAACTGTCTTCTGTCTGTCTGGAGGATACTGTAGTCTGTCTTCTGTTGTCTGTCTGCCTTCTGTATGTCTGTCTTTCTTGAGGTTATTGTAGTCAGTCAGTCAGTCTGTCTGTCTATCTTCTGTCTGTCTTTCTGGAGGATACCGTAGTCTGTCTCTCTGTCTTTTTGTCTGCCTTTCTGCCTTTCTTGAGGATACTGTAGTCTGTCTGTCGGCCTTTCTCATTTTTAACCATTTTCAACGGACATTCTCTGAAGAGCTTTCGAGGAAATCATTGGCACACATTTAATGATTTTAATAAGCCAATAGTTTATTGAGTTTGAAATGGAGAGATTGCGGAATGGGACGCGATGTGATGGCGAAGAAGATTTTGATTCAGGTTTTCATTTGAACAGAACAAAACTGAAATATTAGAAAAGGAAAGCTTTCACCTGAACTCAAAGAACTAGAAAATCTCTAGTTTCTAGATCTTTCTAGTTTCTAGATCTAGATTTTAAAGAATCCTCTAATCAATCCGAGACTCGAAATCAATCAGATTCGACGGACGGCGATGGTGAAAGGGCTGAATCGACGGAAGAATGCGAGAACGCGTCTTCTTTTGACTCACACCTGGAAAATCTCCAAAATTATGTAAAATCTATTCAATTCTTGAGCGTCAAGATGTTCTTTGTGCTCTAAAATTCATTGATATGAATCATCATCTCTAGTTTCTAGATCTTTCTACATCAAAAATAGGTACCTAAACTTTCTGAAAATATTATCAGCTTATAAATTTACAGTTTTTGAAACCTAAACAATTCCAAACATCAAACAAACCTAAACTTAAACAATTCGAACATTAATTTACCTGTGCCAAAAGTTCTGTTCTTGTTGATTCTCAAAGAGATCGGTGGCGAAGATGCAGAAAATCGGCACCGAAAAGTAGAGATCTCAAAGCTTGTCAGTTGATTCTCAAAGAGATCTCAAAGCTTGTCATTGGAGAAATAAAGCTGATGTGAATGTCAGGATGAGAAACTTCGATTGTCACTCTGGAGCTCACTTGAATCTCACTGTAGATTGAGTGAAGGAGGGCAATTTTCTGAGTAAAAATTTTCATGCAAAATAATGGCTAAAGCCTGAAGATACGTTCATCAATTGTCGTTTTTCTCATTTGTCAATTGTCGATTCTCAAAGAGATCTCAAAGCTTGTCATCACCTGGTAGACTAAATCTAAAAAAAACGAAAACAATTCAGTGTATCAGAAAGCGTTAGCATCAGATTTCTCTTAGGTAAAATTTTAGGTAGAGGACTACTCATCCCGGAATCTACTTTCTCTTTTCTTGAGTCTTTGACTTTTCTTCTGACTTTTTGACTTTATTGGTTGCTAAGCCAAGCGAAGCTAAGCGCGACACGGAGTGTCCTCTTTTTCCAAACCTCCTGTAAAACTAGATTCTCAGCCAGCTTTTATATTTCCCATTGTTTTTTCGCGAGCTCAATAATCGAAAATTGCGATGAAATGTGAAATTATTAAATTATTTTCCATGTGATTAAGGCAAATTGATTTTTTGAGTCAGATTTTTTGAGTCAGGCAATGAGTCAAACTATCACAAACCTAGAATCAAGTACTTAAAATAGGGAAAATTGTGATTAAGGCAAATTGATCGGATGATTTTTTGAAATACAGCTTCTCTGTAAAACAGTCTCGACTTTTTCACAACCGGAAAAATGTCCGGTTAATTGGCAAGGTTTAAGACTGGCTTTGCTTCGAAATTGAACATTTAAAAGCCATTTTAAAGCCATCTTTAAGCTATCTTTCCCAAGCTACAGTGCTTGATCGGGTTTTTTTAAAAAACCATGTTTCAAATTTTTTGAATTAAGCACTTCCTTCGCTCGATGAATAGATGAAAGATAGAGAAAAAAACGTTTGATAATTCGGTTGCAGCTTTCTTCTAAGCTTCATTTTGAGACCATAATTCATTGTGAGAAATCTAGTGGATTTCACGATCAAAAAAATCATGTTTCAAAGTAGTAAAGGTGTAAGCGATTTGCGAAATTTTAATACGAGGTACGTTTAGATGTGCTTTAACTTTGAATCTACACGAAGGGTTTAGCTAAACTGAATGCTTTTTTTGCACCCTTTTCAAAGGTGACAGAAAGATAGGCGGACAGTGCGACGATGGCAAGAAGATAAAAAACCAAGCAAGCTCAAAAACGGACTAGTGGCGTTTCTGATCGTTGAAGCAATGTTGTACTACCTCTTTTGGAATTCTCGTTTTGAATTTTATTCACGGATAAAAAACGGTGTTAAGTCGTATGGTGTTCAGTCTTGCGTTTATCATCAATCGTTTGGTGGCTCATGTCAGTCCAATTCACTTTCCTCTTTGTGCGTCTTGGACAAGAGTTTCATTCAATTGTTTTAGTTGAAATGTTGCTAACGAAGTCTCGATTCTTTATTGTTTTTCGGAGTTTAACTTTAACAAGATGTTATTCAAATGGAACTCGGACATTGCTCGTGCCTCGGCCCTGACTTCTGTGAAAGGTTTGAGTAAATTATTGCGTTTCTATTTTTTTAGTTACACGAACCCTGCGGCAACGAACCAATGAATCGAATAAAGGACAAGAAAGTGAAAAAACCAGCAATGATGCCAAGGAGGAAAAGCAAGAAGAAGAAAAGGTAACTTTTTCTAATTAATTGAATCAATAGAGTTTTAGGAAAGGAAAACCAGCTCCATGCCGCCGCTTGATGAAAATATGAGTAGGAAACAATTGTTTGGCTCTTTACAGTTTTTGTTTAGAGCGAAGATTTCGTATCTACATACTTGGCATGACGGCGGTATCATTCGGTGTTACGCTTTATCTGATGACTCGATTGGTGCTCAAACAAGCGGAGGCAAATCCAGGTTATTTGTGAGTTTGACTAGCTTATGCAAGATTTAGAAGTTACGCCACAAGCTATTGCTGAGCCGGGAATCGCGATTGATGATTTTCTTCACAATTACCTTGAAAAGGAGAGGTTAGTTTACTAAAGTAAATAAAACAATCTGTTTGTTTTAGGTCAGAAAGGTAGTATTTTTGCCGCATGAGAGAAAAAGGCTATCGCCGTTCTGCATGATGGAGCCGTTATTGGTGGAAGAATGGTATTGTATTCATTTTATTTCTTCAATCGATTAATCGATTTAGTCGAAAGACAATGTCGTCACGGTTGCCACCGATTTATCCGCTGCTCAGTTTTGGGCTGAAGTCCGAAAGGTTCAAATTTATTAAATTAATCCTTTACAGAGAATTGTAGGTAGAAGATGGACTTGGTATCCCCTTTCTCAAGGAGTCGCCCTGCAGCTACAACAGACCATTGACGTCTGGAGGTAGTTGAACTGCTTTTGCTTTTAATTTTTCTCAATTTAGGGTTTTGAAATTGACGATTGAGTCTTCATAATCGTTTTCCTTTTTTTCACAGTACGGACGGCTGATTGCAAATCGAGTGGCTGCAAAGAAAGCTCCGCCAAAAGCAATAGGAATTCTATCAACTGTATACTTAAACTTTTTACTGCCATGATTGTACATCTAGTTTGTAAATAAACGTATTAATTTATCATCTGCTTAATTAATTATCTTTCTGGTAAAAGTCCAATGTTATCTCAAAAATCGGTTCTAAAAGGTCTCTTTAAAGTCTGTTTTGCGACGGGCAAGTCGAAATTTTCTGTGAACTAGCCTATTTTTAGGAATGTATTGATCTATGTAATGATTTCATTTAGATGACGGACACGATGTGTGAAGCGCTTGCCCAGTTGATGGGCGCTCAGCGGGCAAAAGAAGAAGGTGCTTTTTTATCATTCATTCAAATGTAGAGCTTCAATTTTAAGGCAGAGATCTGCCTCTATACAACCATCATTCGGTGTGCAGACCATATCTTCTAAGTTGTTGTCCGGCCGATCTTTTGGGGGATACAAGGTTTGCTTATATATTTCTTATTTTAATTCTAAGGCTTTTTAGGTTGGAAGGGCTTGTTTTCTTGTCGAAAGATGCATGAACCGACTCACAAAGCTGACTACGAGAATGCTCAAGCACAGAAGGATCATTTCTATGACATAGAGGTACCCTTTAGATATAGAGAAACTTCAACAAATATCTTTAGCTTTACAACATCTTGCAAGGCACAATTCGCTTGGTGGATGGTGAGATTGAGAAGATCAAGAACAAACTCGACCGAGACACGCGAGATGCCGGAGAAAGCGCTGAAATTGTGAAGGTGATAGTGAAATTATTTATTGTTAGTAGCTAAATTAATCTCTGCTTAGATGAAACGCATTGCTGACATTGAAGAGCAAATCAAGTTGCTTGTTGGGAAATTGAAGAACTTGGCTCGCAGGTTTCTTTATCAATGTTTGATTTAATCTCGAAGATTTTAGGGTAAAGTTGAGGAATCAATGCGCACCGCGAAGAAAGTCGAGGAGTTGGAACAAAAGAAAAACGAATTGAAGGTAAAGCGCCAGCAAAATAGATTTTGATTGAACTTTTGTTTAGAATGAAGGAAAGATGAACATTCCAATGACTTCTCAACGTGAGTTTGATACAGTCTGTTGTTATGGATTGACTTTATATTATTTAATTTATAAATTTTAGAACGTCTTCGTGTTTGTGATGACTGCGGTGCACAGGTATGTGGTATTCAAGAAGCAAAAAATAAATTTCCTTAAATTTAGCTCAATATCATGGACCATGAATCGCGCTTGGCTGATCATTTTGGTGGCAAGATGCATTTGGGAATGGTTGAAATTCGAGAGCGTTACACCGAGATGGGGGTGAGTTTTATGGGCGAAGACTTTTCGTTCGACAACACGAAGACTTTGGGTGACCGTCTCGCTTTAAGGAAATTGTGACGTCGCCCTTCTTGGCCCTCTAATATGGCCACGTAGAGCTTGTTTGCGGTTTTCCATTTTCCCGTGGGTTCACTTCTCGCAAACGATTTAGCACGCGCCTCGACCCAACCCATTAGTGTTTTTTGCCTAACATAATCTCAAGAAATTTTTTATAAACTGGGCGGTCGAGGCTTTTCAGCAGAGTTGGTGAGGCTCTTAAAAGTATACCCGGCCGTCACGAGGTCTATAGATGGAAAACACAGCTAAACTGAGAAGTAAAACCCGTATGATAAAGATTGGATATTTAGCTTTAAACTTTATGTAATGTAAGAATTATTTTAGAGCACCATCGATGAGCGTCGTAAGCTTTATGGTGAGAAGAACGGTGACAGTGGAAGGGAGACACTGTAGATTGAGTGAAGGAGGGCAATTTTCTGAGTAAAAATTTGTTATATAAAAATTTGTTTTTAAAAACAAAGGCATTGAATAGCTTTAAAAAGTCTTAAATAATATAATAAAATGATGCAGTTTACACTAAATTCATACCTAAATTGATGTTTTAAATGTTGACCCAATTTGCTGCTGATCACCACCAGTGACAATCGATCCTTTGTGTTCATTGTGTTCATTTCATTGCTTTTCTTTTTCTTTACTAAATCTAACCATTTGCATCTTCAACTTTTGATTAAATTAAAAAAATAAATTGATTGAGATATTATTGAGACTTTCAAAGCATTTGAATATTCAAAAAACTGATTCAAGATGAGGCCTTTGCCCATTCTCCTATTCGTTTCCCTGCACGGGATGGCGTTAGCCGGGCACGTACAAATCCCGCTACGCCGCGTCAAGTCGATATGGAGAAATTGATGGAAGAGGTTTGACAAAAGGAAGAAAGTAAATAAAACTAGATTCTCAGCCAGCTTTTATATTTCCCATTGTTTTTCGCGAGCTCAATAATCGAAAATTGCGATGAAATGTGAAATTATTAAATTATTTTCCATGTGATTAAGGCAAATTGATCGGATGATTTTTTGAAATACAGCTTCTCTGTAAAACAGTCTCACGACTTTTTCACAACCGGAAAATGTCCGGTTAATTGGCAAGGTTTAAGACTGGCTTTGCTTCGAAATTGACCATTTAAAAGCCATTTTAAAGCCATCTTTTAAGCTATCTTTCCCAAGCTACAGTGCTTGATCAGGTTTTTTAAAAAACCATGTTTCAAATTTTTTGAATTAAGCACTTCCTTCGCTCGTTTAATTCCGGTGTTACATTTGGATTTAAAATTTTACCCATCACTTTATTGACTTTCTAATCTCGTGCTTTGTTCATTAATTTCCCGCGAATTTCATAAATCCTTGATTGATCATTTTCGATTTGTCCTCTCTCTCGCAGACAACACCAAAACTTATTTACCCAGACTTACCGTAACCCTTAGAAAATCGATTTTCCAAAGAAAAACCCCAAAAAATGCTTCTCTGTAAAACGGTATTGTTTGTTTAGTATCTAAATGACTAATTTTAAGCAGTAGTTTTATTTTTTAAACTTTATTTTTAGTCGTTCAAAAAGCAACAAAGCGATCAATTATCAAAACTCCAAGTGGTTGTTGTGAAATCGCCACTTTCAATTGCAAAGCCTAAACTGGAAAAACCTAAAATTGTGCCAGCTCTACCTGTGAAATCTCCACGAGACAGGGAATTTATTTATTTATTTAAAGTATAGACCGTATCTAGGATATAGCAGTTAGAATATCCCTAGTAGCTTATCAGATTCAAAAGAGAGGCTATGGTCCCTTATCTATTGCCTTATCTATACTCCCTCATAGCATATTCCCCTCTCCAAAATTAGGCTAATTGAAATTTGTTACGTTAATGTCTTTGTCTTTTAAATGTTACGTCTACCAATTGAAATAAAAAAGGACCTTTACCTGTCATCTTTCCTTTACGCCCTTTTCTTCTTCGTCAACAACGTCATTCCACAAACGATGACCACCATGGGACAACTCTATCAGGTAAGAGGAAACAGAAAAGGTCTCTTCTCCCTTTCTAGTATTCTAGTTTCTAGTATTTCTCTCCCTTTCCCCTCTTCCGCATTTCTCTTTTCCACATCTCATTTCCCCGTCTTCTTTTCGATTCTCAGCACATTTGAAAGGGCTTGTTTTGTGCGAGGCCAAATCATCCTTCCCAACACACAACCAAACATGGATGGAGAAAGTGGGTATGATGAGGTGAAGATTCACGATGGATCGCTGAGTCCGGAAGAGATTGAGGCAAGGCAGTTGGAGGGGAAATCGAGAAGTTGTCCCCTCTCTCTCGCAGACAACACCAAAACTTATTTACCCAGACTTACCGTAACCCTTAGAAAATCGATTTTCCAAAGAAAAACCCCAAAAAATGCCGAAATCTCAAGAAAAAGACCAAAAATAGCAGAAATTTTGGATTTTCGCATCATCTTATCTCTCCAATTTGAAACCCGATTTTTTTCTGTCAAATATTTTCCGTTTTTTCCAAGAGACTCATGTTTTTGTGGTGTTTAAAAGGCAAAAATGAATAGATTTTAGTAAAGAGTCAAGGTTTTCGGTAATGAATGAATGCAAAATGGCACAAGAAAAGCCTCAACTGAAAACTCATTTTGCTCTCCAAATCGAGCACTTTGAAACAAAGAAATTTCATATCAAACTTAATTGCAAGTTTTAGCACATTTTAGAATATTCAGTGATCAGAATTTTGATATATTTTGATATTTTGCTAATTTTGATATATTTTTGAAAACGGATCAAAAAGAACAAGTTTCAAAGTTGGTCTTAAGATGCAAGAGGTTGAAGATCTAATGAGATTTGCTAGTGTTCAGCTTCAGCTTCGAAAGTCAACCCGGAACCAGCGTACCGAATTATCAAACTCGCGTCGGATTGCACGCCGAGTTTTTGCAATTTAATCATAATTGCTCTAGCAATTGTTTACTTGTTTACTTACAGGCAACGGCATTGACCTTTCAGCCTTTCAAAAAGCGGTAGTTTCCTTGAAGATACTTTATGTTGATGATCCATCATTCTCAATATTAGATTCGAAATCGAATCATCTCTGCAAATTTGGTTTTTAGTAGTATTGCTGATTCTTCTTAAAAATATTTTGAACCTTTAACTTTCTCAGATCCATCATTCTTCTTCGCCAGTAAGCTCAACTGGGTGAGTAGATCCATCGGGTCCATCCAAATCCAAATCTGGTACCAGCTTTGACTTTTTGTGAAAAACTGATGCCAGATTCTTTTCTTTATCAAAAAGAACATTAGAACATTCAAAGTTTTTGATGTGAAATGTGATTGAGCCAAAGTAATGATTGATACGGCACATTGTACCAAAGAAAGATCAACCGACAAACATGAAGTGGCAATACAGTGAAAAGGGTACGGTACATAGTACAAGAAAGTATAGACCGTATCTAGGATATAGCAGTTAGAATATCCCTAGTAGCTTATCAGATTCAAAAGAGAGGCTATGGTCCCTTATCTATTGCCTTATCTATACTCCCTCATAGCATATTCCCCTCTCCAAAATTAGGACGACATCACAGAAGTCCTCGCGTACTCATTCTTTCACACATTCATTTCAGATTCTGGTAGTGAAATGGAAATTTAAAAGCAAAGTTTCAAAGTAAACGACTCTGGCCTTGGCTTTAGCAAGATAATCATGCAAAGATGAGGATGCACTTTGTACTCTCTTAAATCCTGTGAACCCCTTCTGGCTGCACAATAAGCTTTGAACAAGGATTTGTTCTTTATTTTCCATAAAGCAAACCATGATTAGTTGTAATGCTTTTGATTAACTTGACCAAAATGGCAATGGGGCATTACTTTTGTGGACCACTGTATATCTTCTAATAAAAAATGTAGAAAAATAAAAAAGTTATTCATTTTCCTATGAAAAAATCGCGGTTATTTCGAAAAAATTCTACTGTGTGGGCGCGCGTTTATGCAAAAATTCAAATTTTCATAGCATAGAATTCTGTAAAATTCATAAAAAGTTAACCGTAAATCAAAGAAAAGAACTATTTGAAAGCGCTGAATCTTCTCTACAAAATATTACTAAAAGATTTTGATTATTGGATGGACCAGCGGAAAAGGCTCACCAACGTTTTCCACGCAATCTAAGCTCCGCGCCTTTTTTGGCTGCTCACGAATCAAGAAATCAAGAATCACGAATCAAGAAATCACGTAAAAGCAATCACAATAAAGTTGGACTTAATTGTACCGATTTGAATCTCGAAATTTGTCAAAAAGATTTACACAATTTAATTCAGTTTGCCGGTTCGGAAACGTGTTTGTTTTTACCGAACTTGTCTGGACATACCTGGCAACCCGTTTCCAGAAGTGAACTCATTAGGGAAAGCCTCGGTTCCGACACGATTGATGCCTACCGTGAAACAATGATTGGCAATCGCTGCGTTTCTTGCCTCGATACCCCAAAGTCGCGAGTATAATTTCTGTCTGGTTTTCGCATGCAAATTGACGGCTGTATGCAAATTGACGGTGTGTCGAGGGTTCGAATCCCGCTGCAGCATAACTTTTTTGCTTTTTAAGAACAATAGAAGTAAATTTATTGAGGGTTATAGCAATTTTATGCTGTTATTTGTTGCTCCGGGCGTTATTTGTTGCTCGCGACCCCATGTGCCTCTTTGACTTCGGCTTTTCGATTGGCTCCAAATTTGGCTGTGGTTTCAAAAGCTTTCTGCATGTCATTCTCAAAGATTTCCCATGTTAATGGCTCCCAGCCTTCTTTAAACATACGTTTGGTTTCATCAAAAAGGATCCACTATTTCTCTACAAAATCACTTTTGAGAGATTCCACAAAGCTACTAGGGATATTCTAACTGCTATATCCTAGATACGGTCTATACTTTAAATAAATAAATAAATTCCCTGTCTCGTGGAGATTTCACAGGTAGAGCTGGCACAATTTTAGGTTTTTCCAGTTTAGGCTTTGCAATTGAAAGTGGCGATTTCACAACAACCACTTGGAGTTTTGATAATTGATCGCTTTGTTGCTTTTTGAACGACTAAAAATAAAGTTTAAAAAATAAAACTACTGCTTAAAATTAGTCATTTAGATACTAAACAAACAATACCGTTTTACAGAGAAGCATTTTTTGGGGTTTTTCTTTGGAAAATCGATTTTCTAAGGGTTACGGTAAGTCTGGGTAAATAAGTTTTGGTGTTGTCTGCGAGAGGGGGACAAATCGAAAAATGATCAATCAAGGATTTATGAAATTCGCGGGAAATTAATGAACAAAGCACGAGATTAGGTCAATAAAGTATGGGTAAAATTTTAAATCCAAATGTAACACCGGAATTAAACGAGCGAAGGAAGTG